CTGTAATAAAAAAGATATTAAGAAAAAGGTACATATAAAGTAAGAGAAGTGGTGATAATGACAAGAATTAACCCAATGGTCACAGATGGCATGAATACATGGCATGTCCACTGTAACTTAATTTATACAGAGAAGTCTCCATACATGGTTAGTCACCAAATCAATTATTAGTCCTTTTCTCCCCTGTTTACTTTTTTCCTTGATTTCCAGAAATATTTATAATCTTATTGTTATTAGTAGTCTAATAGCATTACAGTAATCATAATGTCAATAATAATAACAACACTATTCATACTAATGGTTCTAGAAAAATAAATTCCACAAACTCAAGACACAGTCACTAATGCCTACTAACTGACCCCTTGCTGGCTGAACACTTGGGGTCATATATGTGCAACAAAATTCACAAAAAACTATGGTGGATAGTACATTAATACATAGCCAATACGTTAAAAATCAAATACACAGAGATACGTGAACAGAAGGATTGCGAGAGAAATACAGAGAGAAAGGGATATAAATAGAAAAGAGCAGTGTGTAGCAGTACAGAGGGGCAGCTAAAGTAATTCTTTCAAGTAAAATAGGAAGAATTACTTTAAAACATATCATTTCTCAATATAATATAAAATTAGAGCTGTCTCTGGTAGAGCAAGAAAAGTCACAATGCACTGACAGTTTCCAAAGTTTGGAACCCTGTAATTCATTGTTAAAGGCCTACCATGTGTTCATTGTGCAATTTTTTACATTTTACAACAGAAATACATCATTAAGGCCCACCTCTGAGCAAAGCTTACGCCACTCATTTGATTCTAAAAAGATGGCATTTTTGGATAAATGATTTAATTATTTATTTTTCATTATTTTTTTTTGCATGCTTGTGAGTATATAATTGTGCTTTGTCTCACATATTTTACTGGGACACCCCAATAGGGAGGGGGTGCATGAGCTTACAAATGTTGAAAAATCAACTTTTTTGTGGTGGCTGTTGTGCAGTAATACTCAAAAGTCGTGTTATTTCCCTGAATTATCTAACAAAGAAATCAGTTGGACCAATTCTATGGGAAGGCCACGTCATGTTACAAGTTTTGAATATCCGTTAACTTTTTTTTTCAACTTAAAGTGGCTTATATACTGAAAACATGACTGAAATAGACGCTTTCCAAAGGTTCTAGCGATTCCTTGCTAAATCTCATCATATCACAATAAAGCAATTTTAGAGTACTTTGAGATTATTACCAAGTTAACCAGAATTATTGTTTTCAAAAGGAAACATACTTTGTAAAGGTATCTATTTTTTTGGATATGAAAGTAAATTCCTGTCTGAAATGTTTGATAAATGCATTGAATCATAAAGACAACTAATCTAATCTAGAAATTACAAAAAATACTTTTATTTTTCCTTGATAATCCAATAGTGAGGAAATGGAGAACTGTGGATGGCAATATTAGTACAAAATTGTTATGCAAGTTTGACCCTAGCTTGTCCAGTCAAGATAGGCCGCCCCCGGCCTATGGCGGGAGGACTCAGGTCACTTCTGCCCCACTGGGCTGACCGCCTGACCTTCCCCCTCTCCGCGCTTTTCCCAAGATTGTTTAGTGTGTTTATCTGTGTGTGTTATTATACTCTTAGAAAATAGTCAACTGAGTAACAGCTATCACTACTCCTGCAACCAATGTTTAAGGTGTCAATTAATAGCCTTTACAGCTGGTGGCAGAGGTGGTCGCACGTGGGCACACATTTAAGAGTAATATTGTTTCAATTGCAACGAATTTAGCGCATTTGTGAATTTATTGTTTTCATGAACATCGCTGATTATTTCTTTTCACAGTGACCATTTCCTGTCTTGACCTGACCCTCCGAGTAAAAAGCATTAGTTAAAGGCCCACCTAAACAGCTGGCGGATATGACCTCACTTTCACTTTGAGTGATTCACATGGTGAAATAGCTGAGAAAACAGCTGCCATTCCCTTTTAATTTTTTTCTATAATTATTATAATATAGGGATAAAACATAGCAACCGTTACATGTTCATTGGTGACACGTTCTATCGGCACTAGAACAGAGCCTGTAACGCAATTTATATACATTTATAATTTTGAGTATAGCGCCAGGGATCTTCCACAAATCATAGTGCCAGAGTGCCTGGTTATTCCGGGGTTGTGTTTATGTGAAATAGACCCACGTTCTGACGTAATGATAATAGGTACAGATGTAACCAAAATCATTCATATGCTCGGCAACTTTGAGCCGGTGTGACCCACAATTTACGTCTGTGAAACTAATGTAGGACTAGGGTTTAAGCTTGATCCATGATTCACTTATCAATCACACCCTGCTTACACTTTTAGACATCACTGGCATGTTGAGTAAATCCCATCAATTTGTGATTCATGATAAATCCCCATAGGACATTTCATGAGCGCCCATCATAGATCCGCAGATAGAGTAGGTTCTTTATAGATTTTCCCAGCTCGTTTCACTTCATGAAGTACGGTATTTTTGGGTACAGACCCCCCGTCAATGAAGTCTGCCCACACAGTTAGACAACTTACCTCGGCAAATTGTCCCCGAGAAGATTCGCTCATAAAAAAGCTTGAGAATATTTTTCACGTCACCATTCATTAGTGCGTCATTCTGTCACACATTAAATATGAAATTCAATGTGGTAGTTGAAATAATTTTGTATTACGTCTATAACTAGTTAGTCGCATTAATCTCTATGTTTGGCATGCATTTCCACTCAGTGGGAGGTCACTCACTATTAACTATCACACACACACACACACACACACACACACACACACACGCTCAGTCACTCATCGACGCAGAACAAAAGACACTTAATCCTTTCATTAATAGGGTTTGCTGCTGTCGTATTTGCAGGCGTAAAGATTTATTACGTATCTTTTAGCCAGCGATTTTGTTAGTCATGATGTGTGACATGTACATGAATTCTTAATTTACATACTTTCTTGTCTGTGCTTCGACAATGGTTCAAGCAAATCCCTGCGGGTTGCCAATTGTCGTTTCCCTTACTTACTTTCACATCTATCAAGAGATGGTTTGGTAGTACTTGCGGACCACTACTACCATCTCCCTCTCCTATTTTCTTCTTTAACTTTGTAAATGAAAACCACAAAATGAAAAAAAAAAAAAAAATAACAAATATCCGACCATAAAAACTGCCAATTATAAAAATAATCAGCTAATGGCGCTTAACACCCCATCTTCTCTGTTGTCTTTCTTTTCTCTTACTATCTTGGCCCTTATGTGTATAATCTGTTTAACAACATCTGACACGGCACCGAAGGAGGCCCTACTGCATAAACGGTCACCTTTGGACGGCATGGAAAAATGTCACTGGATGATTGCCAGATGCCTGGAGACGAGGATGTTCGTCAGAGCAGGTATCAAGCTGCCTCTGGGTTGTGGAATTGCCCCGCCTGCCAGGATGCCCATAGATCTAACTAAAGACCAGGAACTCGCCAGCGCAGGTACCAGTCGCCCCATGATGCTGTGGACAGGCGCCACTTGCCTGGACGCCGCAGATCCAATCATAATCCAGGAGCTCATCAGCGCAAGTATCAGCCACCCTGCGATGCCAAAAAAGACTCTTCCTGCCAGAAGCCCATAGATCCTGACAAATATTACAACGACAAGCGCACAGCCGAGGACCTGGAGAGATCTGCAAGACGTGCATTGGGTGAGTAAGCCGCCAAGTTAGACCTGGACATGGACTACGAGGAAGTGTCGGCGAATCCGAAGTCAAGGAGGACCTGGGCAATACCTTCGAGGACGTGTAGATGTCGAGGACGGACAGATTTACCAGGGACCAGGATGAGGATGACGAGAAGGACAAGCAGCCACAGAAATGCATCAAGAATACTACACGTGAGATTGAGGATTAGCAAGTTAGGACCAGCCGAGTTAAGTCACCCTTGAGGCAAGTCTAACCCACCTCGGGGGGCGAGGCGTTAGTAGGTGGCTGAGCAATATACTGGGTGGAAGTAGCTGCTGGTGACCACACCTCACTCCCCCCCGATTCCTGCAGCTGGCGTTCCCCCTGTGTGCTTAACTCTTACAGAATAAAGAGTTTCAAGCCACCAAGCTTTTACTAACCTGTTACTAATATATAAGAGGTCAATATATACCCTTTACACTCTCTCTTACTTTTTCACTCTCTCTCTCTCTCTCTCTCTCTCTCTCTTACTTTTTCACTCTCTCTCTCTCTCTCTCTCTTACTTTTTCACTCTCTCTCTCTCTCTCTCTTACTTTTTCACTCTCTCTCTCTCTCTCTCTCTCTCTTACTTTTTCACTCTCTCTCTCTCTCTCTCTCTCTCTCTCTCTTACTTTTCACTCTCTCTCTCTCTCTCTCTTACTCTTTCACTCTCTCTCTCTCTTACTCTTTCACTCTCTCTCTCTCTTACTCTTTCACTCTCTCTCTCTTACTCTTTCACTCTCTCTCTCTCTCTTACTCTTTCACTCTCTCTCTCTCTTACTCTTTCACTCTCTCTCTCTCTTTCTCTCTTACTCTTTCACTCTCTTTCTCTCTTACTCTTTCACTCTCTCTCTCTCTTTCTCTCTTACTCTTTCACTCTCTCTTTTTCTCTCTTACTCTTTCACTCTCTCTTTTTCTCTCTTACTCTTTCACTCTCTCTCTCTTCTTTCACTCTCTCTTTCTCTCTTACTCTTTCACTCTCTTACTCTCTTACTCTTTCACTCTCTCTCTCTCTTTCTCTTACTCTTTTACTCTCTCTCTCTCTTTCTCTCTTACTCTTTCACTCTCTCTTTCTCTCTTACTCTTTCACTCTCTTACTCTCTTACTCTTTCACTCTCTTACTCTCTTACTCTTTCACTCTCTTACTCTCTTACTCTTTCACTCTCTCTCTCTCTTTCTCTTACTCTTTTACTCTCTCTCTCTCTTTCTCTCTTACTCTTTCACTCTCTCTCTCTTACTCTCTTACTCTTTCACTCTCTCTCTTTCTCTCTTTCTCTCTTA